ACTGGAAGAAGATTTGGGAGAAAAGATTGTTCATACCAACATGAACCGATCGCAACGGTTGGTAATAAAACACAGCGCAGTGTTCCTTGCGACATTTCGCTTATACTTAACCGGATTTCAAATTAAGGTACGAAAGTTATTTGCACACAAAATGCACAACGATTCATCACCAACCCCTGCCAAAGTATCATCACTTGGCGGACGAAATGATGCAGTGAGATGGAAAGTGTTAATCTGGAAATCCATCTAGCACTAATGAAGTACGAGCTAAAATATATACCTTCCACACAGTTAGAGCCACAGTAGGTTGGCAGTACTACACTACTACTACCACTTTAGAAGACTGAGGTCGAGAGTAGTCTTAGAGAAAATGACATTCAACCTAGTATCCTGGAGGGACACAATATGTATAAATATCTGCTAGTAAATGAAATCCGTTTCGTTAGGTTGCAAAATTACGAATCAAAATACAGAAACGTATTTGTCGTAGTTACGCCGTGAATAGCCCGCGAATTTGCATATCGGTGGCCCAAACATTCCGGGCCAAACACTCGAAGTCGAATCAGAGTTCGTTTGAAGGATTATGAGCGGTGCTTTTCCAAGGTACTCTAACAGAACAGCATTATCAATATACTTGTGCTTTCCCATCAATCATTTCAGAAAGAACTGTCGAAATTGTGTATTAAGAAGCGTTGATTTAACGTGCACAAAATTTAGATATTAAACGGCATAACCATATAAGCACTAAGCGACAAGCTGTGCCATCATTCCCATACGGCATGGAATACCGGAGAAGCTGGCATTTAGAAATGGAGCCATATTACTTTATACTGTGCTGGAGAGCTTTGCTACCAGTGAGACTTTGCGCACCTAAAAATTAGTCGATACAACAGTCGTTAAAATGAAATGCCCATATGACAGCGAAATAAGCGAAGGTACGTTTATCATAGACCATAACTACACAATGAGGACCGGTAGATTATGATTTCATAAACTTTCAACACCACCTTACACTGATATCGGTTGGTGACGGATGGATTGTATATGTTAATAAGGTATAAATGCTTTTCAAACCGTAATATATGAGTAACAGGTACTGGTTTTCTAGAGCAAAATAAAACCAAGGAAACGGTGTTCACTCGATGGCAACTGGTCATTCACTAAAACGACCGGGAAAACGCAGTATAGGTTTAACTATTGCCAGGTGCTAAATAGCATTTAAATAAACAAAGCCTTACAACGGTTACAAAGCTGGTGCTTGGAAATCAAGTGGAATAGTTGTTAAATCTAGGTTAAAGTTCAAAGGTAATAATGGGAAACATTCGTTTATGTTGACTCACTTATTAAATGACCTGAAACCTGTGCTGGTCCCTAAATGACTAGTTTAAAAAGCAGGCTATGTGCATATTTCCTCTTTCACGATTAAAACAGGCTATATCCCTTAATATAAGACGGAGAAAGTATCGTGATCTTTTGGAAAGCTTTAAATTGGAAGGAAATTTGACGCCAGTTGAAGTGAGGTTTTATGTTCAGAACAGGCGGCGGAAGAAAACATTCTGTTTACAATCAAGTCGAACATTTTTGTTTGTCTTATTTTAGGTGGTTAACTTGCAGGCTAGTGGTTTAGCGCAGTAGTAGCAGTGTGTGGCAGCATTTGACACATCACAGTATGAGAGTTTCGCATACGCTGATGTTCAAACGCTACGGAAGCATAGAGCTTGAAGTCTGCGATGGTAGGGTAGTAAAAGATGATTCTAGTGTTTTGTTTCCCTTTGTTATGAAGTCTCAAGCGTATTGGTACTGAATTTTCCATGCTATACGGCGTACAGCACAGGAAACCTAAAGTTGGCTCTCAGCACTTAGGGTGAACAAGGCTCTACACTTGCTATTCTTAACGCATATTCTTACATATTCGAGCAGCTAGTTTGTTCTTGAACCGTCATACTGATACCCTAATTTTGGAAAGCACATTGTGACTTTTGACTCTATTTCGATGTATGTCGATGAAGTGCGCTCGAACTGCATTTAGTCACGCTGAAGTGGAGTTGGTTTTCAGAAAACAACGTATAGATCATATCGATAACCCTCAGCAGTGCCGTGTGACCATCTACGGACATGATGTTTTGTTAGAATTTTAAATTCTGTACAAACAGTAGGATGTTTCCTTTACTCAAACTGGCAACCTCGTTGATGAAGACTAGGAGCTAACTTAGTACCGGCTTCAATTTTGAGTTTAACCAACCAAGGTTGAATGAACTATTTGCCTAGCTAAACTAGGATATGATCGCCAATTAAATATCACCGAAGCTTGTGACTGCAAATCAGTAAAGCAGTCAAGGTAAAAAGCGACAAATCCTACTCCGGCATCGGCACACTCTGTCTAACCTGCTCGGAGTAGCAGCAATCTTGTGGTGTAGGACCGAATCGGCTGAATCTATTCTGCTGTGAGACTGTGATGTGCTCAATCACAACATATGAGCGCCACTGTAATGATTATTTTCCTAGCTTTGCTTAGCAGAAGGAAAGAGGTGGTGATATGGAAGTTAGTGCCAGCTAAATCACATCCCATTTTGTCACACATGCGCTTGGTGGTCCCTACCACTCTTCTCTCTCTTCTCTCCTCCGAGGTCTGAACGTACTATGGGCACCACCTTGCCTGCATATCAGCGAACAAACGTAAACACAATGAAAAACAAGGATCATACCGGACCTCCAGTACCCTATCCTACTTCTCGGTCTACAAGCCATTGCCAAATTGGTCTGGATACCCAAATCCAGGGGAATGGAGCAGCCGCAGCCTGCCTAGAAAGACGGCTGTGATACGTCCCATACTTACACAGTTAACCAAACCCCTACCATGGACGTCGCTCATCGCTCCTCATACTATCCTCACGAGCATTTACAAGTATAGCGGCAAATAATCAAACTCGAATAACACGTAAACATACACTCCTACATACACGTATATATACACGGTGCTGAAATGTTAAATCCGCAACGGTTTCTATACGTGCCCCGACTTTTAGTTGTACCTATACCGTGCTCATGACTAACAGGCATGTCTCGCATTGTCCGAATATACAGTGCATTTTCTAAGGTATTCATCCGATATTTCACAAGCTACATAGCTCAGCTTGTCCGGAAATGCACCAGACGCGTTCGCCCTATTGGGGCTGGTCAGTGGTGCGAATTCCCTCCTTCCTCTAATGAGGATCGAACCCATGACCGCTAGAGGCAGATGCCAACTAGCCAGCAGCTTAAGCCACTGAGCCATGGGGGATGTCGGCTGAACTACATAATTTGCAAACTAACTGGTATACAGCACCACCTATCTTCCACTGTTACTGACAGTGGCTAGCCTGCGAGTTGATGACGTCCTCGCACTAAAAGCTATAGCTATAGCATTTGAAACTAGGAGAGTCTAGATAGTTTATATGTTACAAGAGTAATAAATAGTACTTATTTATTAATTTAGATGAAGTCAATTTTGACTTGATAGAGGGATAAAACTCTTGTGCACTTGTGATGGTACTGGATTAATAAACGTGTGTGGAAGCAAATTACGGAATATCATTCCTGTATACCAAATAATGCTGAAGCGTATTCCGTTGAAATTGACGGACCGCTGCTTAGCCACCTTACTTTCATTTTAGCACATTTTGGTAGCCTTTGCTCTTATTTGGAACCAGCAAATTTTTTCTAACCTTAACTGCGGTCGAACAAAGTGGAGAACGAGTCAAACAAACTTGATTTTATCATGAAGTACGGAAAGATAGCGCGATTAAATTGTTTTTTTACGAACAAAGCATTCGATCTATCAAGGCCTCGTTAAGTTGCTGGTTCTAAATTTACAATTTATTTGCTTGCCGTTTCATTTGGTAAAGAACCCTGAACTTGGACAAAAATGGGCAACGCAGTAGCGTAATTTCATATAGTTTTAACTAGACCATTTAACCGTTTACGCAAACAAAATTAAAGTCCTTGTAACTGCAGTTGCAGTGATTGTTTTGACTGAATAATTGATCTAACTTTGAAGCAGTGCCCCACAGTTTTTTGTTTTTAATATCAACGGTGCAGTATTTCCAATACACAATACGTGTGCCAAGCATATGTTTCATAATTAGCCATTTAATGGACACCTAGCAAGTGCCAATCTTGACTCTTGATACAGTTTTCGACATATTTACATATAAACAAGGCGATGAAGCTAAGTATAAATATGGACGTTCGCCCCTATGGTAGAATATATCCCAACAAATATGCATGCCAAGATTTGTGCAGCGATTTGCGTCCTACTCATTGCTGAATTTGCTGTTTTACATGCGAAAAGATTTTACAGTGACTGCTGTAAGTCCAATCGTGTAACGCACTCCTGTCAATTCATGTTACTTATCATGGACTAATAACAATATATGTGCAATAATATTTTCTATTAAACGTATAGTATAGGAGCTTACGTCACACGACTTTTTGGATTAAGGTAACCCAACTTACATACCAACTAGATGGCAGTTTTCTTTCCGGATTTTTCTTCTGTGCTTTTCAGCTGAGGACAACACGCTACTTGGCGCATCTGTAGAGGATTGCATTTCCGGCCATTGCATCATTCATGGTGGTACAATTGTAAAATCAGAAATTATTTTCCAAGCAAGTACGAAAAATGTAGTATAGGGTTCGCTTTCAAACTTTTCAAATTTGTGCGAACGATTTTCTTATTAGAGTAATAATTAAGGACAACCATCGTTGAAATATTAGTATATCATATCTCGTGGTTTGACGCCTGGTTTATTTTCTTTAACAGGTTCTTCAGTTTCAAGATTCAGTTCATTACTACCTATATCAATGCTTTTAGTCTAAACGGTCATGGTCGTATAGCCAATTTATATTGTGACATTTGGCACGTTATCTGCATTGTTATCCTATCCATTGGAGTAATTAACTCTGTTTCTGGCGCTCAGAACACACATTCTGTTTTGCATTTGCTTATCATGTTTATTCAGAAAGGAATGTTCTTTCCGGGAAGGTGAAATTTTGCTTATACGACCCACATTCGAACCTGTGCTTAAAAGAAGTTGCAGACATAATCGATATCTGCGACCACGTGGATCAAGGATGTCCGCTGAAAAAAGGAGGCATTTACAAGTATAATAGCTCGTTCTTCGCACCTGATGTTTTGGTAAGTCTTTAATTTTTCGACTTGTTAGTTTTCCATAATCGGGTGAATTATGAAGAGATGAATTTATGGTTAGCCTAAGGTTATTAATGTTACGTAGTTTCAGTACAAATAAATTACTGCACACAAATCCCTTTCAGATTATGGGAGAAGGGATCTACAAGCTATACGACGAGGAATGCAACGTGCTTGCATGCGTTGAATACTATGGGGAGATTCGCTCAAAGAATAAGGTCATACCGCAAAAACTGTTCACTGACGACAGCTATCCATGTGGAGGCAAATGACTAAAGACCGATATGTGGTTACTTTTGCATGGTTTGCCTACAGTTACTCAGAGACATAAGTTGCAACCTTTTAACAAATAAATTACTATTTATGGTTCTTGTCGTTACTTTTTTAAGACAATGGGCATGTCCTGATTGCATATTTAAGACTGGCAACAACCTTATATTGAATCATGCTAGAAAAGGGGCGTTTGTCAGAGTGGCCCGAGTTCAAGTTCGTCGTGGACTCAATTACAGAGTGATCGCTTACGGATTCACATGATGTAGGTGTTGAGGTCCCGCCTGGAGAAAGGTTGGTTGACCTTGATAATGCGAACGATATCGTTTTAATTTCTAACGATGCTGGGTCGGCCCAGTCCAGCCAGAATAACCTGCCAATGATAGTCCCATTATTTGGGATGCGCTTCGCACTTTCAAACTGCAAATTTTTGCTGCAAGACCACTAGCCGCTTGATGATCTCTTAACCTTTGATAACGAAGGACTCGAGCTGCTCGATCGATTCACTTAACTTGCCAACTGCATCCGCAACGATGGGCACATAGAAACTGAAACCATTATACGCACTGCAAACGATAGAACTGTCTTCTTTAACCTGCAGAGTCTTTGGCGTCAGAAGGGTTTCTCTCCGTCGGAAAGGCCATGTATACATGGCCACCGTGAGAGCCATCCTGCTCCGTGGTGATGAGAATTGCCCCATACGGCCTGAATATATGAGGCGCCTTCAAGTATTTGATCATTGTTATATGCGAAGCTTCGCTGGTGCCGGCAAGTACTAGGTAGTGTTGATCATGCCAGCTCCTTAGAACAAGAGATAGCACTAAGTTACCTTGGTTTGGGTACGTACTACGTAGACCTGGCCACCGCTTATCTAGGAGGGCCTCGTTAAGCATGCTAAGTGCAGGGTGGCGCAAGGCTCGATGTGGACAGAAGTTGACTTGGCAGCGTCACGGACGAGCAAACTGAGTGCCTTTGTTCCGTCGCGCCTTCCGTGCTGGATTCCACTTGACCCGCCTTGTGCTTGGCTAGAGACTTTACTGGAGATGGCTCCAACAGAAAACAGTGGCGCGTCTGCTGCCGTCTCCTAATCCGATCGCCTGTTTAAAGTGTTTGGTGCTACCTGCGGACTATTGATCATGACACTTAACAGTGAAAGCCGTTGCCTCGTTATCTTTGCAAGATAGCCAGCTGTTTGTGACGGCATGTTGCTAAAACAAAATGTAGTCAACTTGACGATGAATGGTAGCTTAGGTACTTAAGATTTTCAGTCTGGTCCCATTCTCTCCCACATATTATTCTATATTCCATAAATCATCATAGTTGTATGGTCGAGAAGCACCAGTTCAATTGACTTATGTACCGATTGTTGATGATGATGGCGCATGTTAGACATCTACATGATAGTGTTTTGATTATGAAAGACCTGATGTTCAAAGCTCTGTGCCGTACGCGTTTGTTTGCATAATCCTTGAGTAGGTGTGTCCAAGAAGCGCCCAATTATACACGCGGCCAAAATTTAGGTAAATAAGCCGTTGCCAAATTAAAGCAAAATTTTTGTGCTTCATGTGTTAGCAGTTTCATCAAGTGAAATTGCAGATCTCTACTGAAACATATGTGTAGAGTTTGACGGTTTTCCAATACTTGCTTTTACGTCACACTATGCGAACAAATTCAATTAAGCAAAGCTTTAAGGGCGTAGGTATATCTGACGTTTGATGGCAATTCAGCTTCGGTGGTTTTGTATTCGTATTCCGTCGGGTGCCAAACAGACAGTATTAGCAAACCAATGACAATTAACGAGCATGTCCACTATAAGAAACGAGAACAATTACAGTGCATCTAACCAAAGTCAACTGAAAGAGCTGCAAAGAAATTGTAGAGAAGAGAAGCAAGAGGAGAGAGTCGCGTTGCAGTGTGACTCTCCTGGGAAGTGTTGTACGGACTATGCATTTCGTAGGGAAACTGACGAGTATGGTAGGAAAAGAACACTAAACATTATTGTCGAAATTACCGAAAGCGTAAATAATTCACGAATCGGTTGTGGTCTCCGTATAGTAGGTTTGTTAGAGAGCACTACGATAGAAATACCCCTGGTGGAAACGGGCACTGAGCGTTGGTGAATAAGGTAGCAAATGGTGTGTGCGCAAGCATCGAAGAAAAGGGAATTCGAATGTTCGCTGGAACCGCAGTCACTGCATGTTAAATTTTTTGGCTAATTTGATCTGACCCAAATTGCGTTACTTTCTGGACCTTGGTACGGATTTGTCGGACTGTTAAAACTTGCCATTCCAGAAAAGGACGACAGAATATTTATGCTGCAGATGCGGGCTGGAGTAATTATTTACCCCAGTACACTCCAGACTAGGGTCAAATCCGTTCCCTCGCCACAAAAGATACCAGGCGCTCTTAATGGAAAAAATAATCAAGGGACTTCGGACCACATTATTCTTGATGTCTACTGTAGATGGGAGAATGTTGATCGCTTGGAGCTACTTTTGTCAGGCAAGGAACTATGGAAAATTGTTCAAGACGACGTCGTGGTTTCTCGACTGACACCGGCATTCAAGTATCACGCGTAGTTGCGAATTGTCGGGAGAGGTGGCATGACGCCATACGAGTAAGGAAGTAAAAAGTAGAACAATGATAATGTCTTGTCAGTTCGCAAAACAACTGTCGGTTAAAAATGTGAATAAGAAGAATCCATTATATTGCAAGTAGCTGACGTGACTCTAGCCTAAAAAGCGTACCAGACGTTTCACTGGTTCACCGCGTCTGTCCGCTGCGTAGAGTTGAGGATTCGAACTCTCCTAGCAACTACCGTGTTGTCTGTGTACCTGCTCTGATTTGGCCCCTGCATGTCCGTTTTGCTACTGCGGATAATTCTTATGAGTACCAGTGAAATATATTTCCCCGGCCCGGGTCAGAAATGCCAAAAAATACTATTACACCAGCCTACGAAAGCATTCTACTAGGCCGTTGGTTGCGAGGATCCCATAGTGCCGAAGCAAACAGTAAATTACGGCATGGGTGAGTGAGTTGTTCGCACAGCCTGGCAATAGAATGGTCAGTTTAAGATACCCAGGGAAGCGGTCAACACTGATCACTTTGTGTAGGAATCCGCGGGAAAGTGTTATGTGACCTACCAACTCTACGTGTAAGTGTGTAAAAGCAGAATCTAGTGCAGTGAATGAACCGAGATAATCAAAATTGAGTCGATGTAGCTTGTAATATTACCAAGGAAGAAAATCTCGAGCACACTTACGAGAAACGTATTACGTACAGCCAAAATAGTCACTCGGTTATCTATTATGGATAACCACGAATACAATTTTGAAATAAGCAATGGAAGGTGTCAAATACTAAGGACCTATATAGTTGAAAACGAATTATGTCTAGCTGTGGAGGTGACACGTAGAATTGTTCCATTCGTGATTTGGAGAGGGACGCCTTGCACGAACAACTGGGTTTATTTCTGTTGTGGTAAACATTTTGCTATGTGATCAGTCTATGCAACCTTGGCAAAATTTTATGGTACTGAATGCGTGAGGTATATATATATATATATATATATATATATATATATATATAGTCGCAGGAGGGTTTCAGAGGCAGAATTATTGACATTAAGAGATGACATGCGTCAGTTGCGATCAGCTTGACAAAGGCTATTCGGCTAGTTTTCCGTAGTGTAGATTTGTCAGAAGATAAGTTGCAAGCGAAAATGAGCGTATGCATGCATTACAGATAAAGGAAGCCTAGATATAATTTCGTGTCTATAGTAAAAGACATCGAAATCGTAGGCGACCAGTTCTCTGCATAATCCGTTGTATCAAGGTTTATTTGTTTGCGGCCGATTAAGAAAGTTACAAGGAGTTGATGTTGCCAAAAATTATTTTTGTATTACAGCATAACCGTGACGTTAGATGCATCTGTCGTAATAGAACAAGGTGCACACGGTTTGCAAGCAGCACGAAAGGCTATGTAATAACAGCCTTCTTGAGGTATTTTAGCCGCATACAGGCTGTATAAAGCAAGTAGCATCTAGGCGCGTTACTGCCGAGACTGTCAGTCAGGGTTCACATTAGCTAACCGAAGTGGGAGAAAACCCGACGATGGTAACTGATTAGAACAAAGGAGCAACGTAGCTGATTGCGTAAATCCAGGATTGTTAGCCTGTATCAGCATGTTTCTTGTCTGCAAATAACCGCATAATAGATGAGAAGAGGTGGTCTAGGAATTCTACGGTTAGCTAGCCATTTCACAGTTAGTTCGTCGAACGGTGATGTCGCTCTAAGTAAACCAATGAAACAATCACTAAGTTTGAGCGAGGCTCTTCTTAGCTTTACCGGCCTATGCATTGTTATCAACGTATAGTTAAGCAATATATACGCAATAGGTGAAATCCTGAATAAATTTCCAAAGCAATACCAGCGTTACATATTCTG